ACATTTATTTGCTGTGCCTCCTACGCATTAGGTATATTCTGTCATGGCAGAACACTACAGTTTTTTGTGTATACTGTATTTACTCTACAGATTCTGTGAAGTTTATGGGCAGGAAGGTCTTAATTGGGTAGCTGATACTTTCTCCTACAGTATGTGGCACGAAAAAAGGCAATCACTGGATTCTTTTCATTTGAATTGAGGGTATCCTATGGGAAAATGGGTTTTGTCCTTAACAAGATGAGAGTCAATAAATCAAAACAATTAAATGAACCAAGTGTTGTAGTTGTGCCTAGCATATGAAAAATAGAAATATATGTAAACCATTTCCAAGGAACTTTAAAAGATAAGACTTAGAATCAAGAAAAAGAACAATTAAAATGCTATATAATTGATCATTAAATGTTACAGCATGGAATGGATACTTATATTGATAGGCAGATATTTTTAAGTGATTAATTCATCATAAAAATGGAAGTACAGAAATTTTAAAAATGGTTTATTTTAAAATAATTATTATTTTAATAATTATTATTAAAATTATTATTATTAGTCTCACCTAAAAGTAGATAAACTATGGCTTACAAAAATTAAGCAAAATTCAAATAATTCTTATTATTACTTCGTTGACATATGAAATATTAAAATAATGGTTTGGATGTTTAAGAACTCACCAGAAGTTTTTGTTTTTCCATCATCAATACCAATAGCTAGTGATTCCATCATATCAGCTTTTCTTCTATGAAATTCAGATGGATGCATTCTTCCCCTATTGACTTCTATCTCCATATTACGTAGTTGCTGTTGTTTGTATCCTCCAGAATTATCTAAACCATATTGTCTCTATCAAACATAAAAATGAATCACTTAATTTTTATGCCTCTTTACCTCAGTGAGGATGGAAACGTACTACAATTTTATTTGGAAATGCATTTTGAAACATTCTGGTTTATAGACTTTTATACAAATAAACTTAAAGATTTTTATTAAAGATAAATACACACACACACACACACACACACACACACACACACACACACACATCCCTGAGTTAATGACAGCCTTTCTCCACCATAGCAAGAGATTTGCTTTCCTTGTAGTAGGGAAAGTAGTGAATCCTGTCTTCCTACTAAACATACTGAAAAAGGCAGGTGAGTTCTGAACATAGCACTGACTTATTGAAGAAAATTTGTCAGTATTTGTTATTTGATTCTCAGGCTAGTTTATGAAGGCTTACTTAATCCATACTTCATTCAGGCAATAATTCTACATAGTAAATTAATTGGGTTTTTTTTTTGCATACTGGATAGAGAATCTCAAATGTATAACACAGCCTCTACGGAAAAAGTTTTGAAATCTAAACAACTTGCAAAGTTACATAACAAACTCCCTTAAATACTGGAAACCTTGTGTATTGATAATGTTGAAAATTATGTAAGGTAAAAAAAACGTTAGGAAACGCCAACTTATTTTCCTCCTCTGAATCCTAGTGGGAAAATGTTTTGCAAATAAATGAATCACCAAGGAGAAAAATAGCCTAAATCAGATATTCCAAAGCGAGAATTGCACAGTCCTACGTGAGGTATCTGAGAAGACAAACTCAGAAGTCAAGTAAATCTGAGAAAATTATGATTATGTACAATGCACATTAGAATATTAAAGGTTCTGAGAAATCTTGAAGTATACAAACCTGCTTAACTGAATACTTTCAAACCTATTCAATCATAAATCCTTTTTATTTATACATAATCCTATCAGCACATGGAAAAAGAACATTTAGAAACTCTGAGCATTATTAGCACAGATAACACCATAGTCCACAGCAATTAGGATTGAAAAAAGTAGAAACATCTATTAAAAATGTAAACGCATTCAGGGCACCTGGCTGGCTCAGCAGAGCATAAAACTCTTGATCTCAGGTTGAGTTCAAGCCCCGCTCTGAGCATGAAGACTACTTAAAAATAAATAAATAAATAAAAAACACATATAAATATATATATAGCTGCTGCCAGTTTAGTTCAGCAGATACCACCATTGACCTAAGATAAAGCCTCAAATATCATCAAAAACACATTTTTCCATTAAAAATTGCTCTTTTTGAGTGCCTGAATTGCAATCGTTAAGAGTAACACTCAGATGGGAGAGTAAATTGATTAGCATTGAGCTTCAGAAAGAGTAATGTTTAAGAATCTGTACAAACAGTTAAATTCTGAGTCTCAGTTCCCTAATTTGCCCTATCAATTTACATGAGTTTGAATCCAGGCTTTAACCATTTAATACAGCCTGAACCTGAACAAGTTAAGCTATGTAAGCACTCTTTGTCTCCATTACTTCATCTGTCACTTATGGAGTTGTAAAGATTTTGAGATACTATATATGAAGTGCTTATCTCAATACATGACCAGAGTAAGTACTTAACAAATGGTGGCTGTTATGAATTATAAAATGTATATGTAAAAAAAAAAAATACTTTGGGGGGCGCCTGGGTGGCTTAGTCAGTTAAGCATCCGACTCTTGATTTCAGCTCAGGTCATGATCTCACTCTTTGTGGGATCAAGCCCCGTGTCTAGCTCTGTGCTGCCAGTGCAAAGCCTACTTGGGATTCTCTCTCCCCTTCTCTCTGCCCCTCCCCTGCTTGTGCTCTCTTGCTCTCTCAAAATAAATAAATATTTACAAAAAATATTTTGTATATCAACACGGACAAAAATAATAGGCTGCAGTCTTGACAGACTGTTTGAAAAGAACTCCACCAAAGCAAAATATTACATTGTTATTTAATCTTTGTACCTGCAGCTTCTGAAATTCTCCCATTTCTTGTTGTGATTCTTCAGATCTCCTTTTTCTGTCTTCTTCTTGTTGAAGCTGATGAGCCAATTCTAGATCTCTAGAACACTGGACTCTATCTATGCCTATTAGATATTTTTAATGTTTAGAATAAAATAACTTCTGAATATAAATCTTACTTATTGTATGTTAATTCATATTTTTAAATGGGAGTACATGCTATTATTTTGATATTTATTCATGACTGTGATGTCACGGAAACACTATTTCTGGCAGAACGTGAACAGCTTCCATAAGTGTAGAACCTCCATTTAAATCCCTACTATTCACTGAGTAGTTAGGCTGTGACAAGCATTTTTCATTAATTACCTCGTTTGATCCTCGTAACAAACTTAGGAAGTTAGGTATTCTCTACTAAGGAAACCAGAACTTGGAGATATTAAGTAATACTTTTCATTGGTGTTCTTTACTAACACAAATAAGGCAGGTTGGCATTTAAAATAAACTGAGGGGAGGGGCGCCTGGGTGGCGCAGTCGGTTGAGCGTCCGACTTCAGCCAGGTCACAATCTCGTGGTCCGTGAGTTCGAGCCCCGCGTCGGGCTCTGGGCTGATGGCTCTGAGCCTGGAGCCTGTTTCCGATTCTGTGTCTCCCTCTCTCTCTGCCCCTCCCCCGTTCATGCTCTGTCTCTCTCTGTCCCAAAAATAAATAAAAACGTTGAAAAAAAATTAAAATAAACTGAGGGGAGAAAAGGAAATAATAAAGAGCATAAAAATATGTTTGCAAAGTGCCGCTTAATTACAGTCTGATCTCAAACAAATAGTACAACTTTGTAACATTTTGCCCTGTTTCCTCTCTAGCCAATATCCCACAGATCCATTAGTCAGTAGCTTCTGGCCAGCATCTTGTTTCCCTGACCTCCAATTTGATAGTTTAATATGTATTTGAATATTCTTTCTTTCCTTCCAAATCTCTCAGCCTCTATCACATCTTCCTATTTAGTTATTTGGTCCCCACTTTCACTGCTAGAGATAAGCAGTTTCCAGCTGATTTTTAGAGTATTTTGATGCTATCTACAGTGATTCACTCAGGCCATACTTTTCATTATCCACTATAGGCTTACAGAATAATTTATGTACCCGTACAAAGTCTATCATAAACAAAATAAGAATTAGTGGACATTCAGCTTCAGAGAGTTATTTTCCCACTGTAGTTAGGAGAGAACTACCAGAATGGGAGGACTGTTCCATCTTTGTTCCAATAATTTTCATTTGGGGATTAGGCTGAGTGAGCAAGGAAATGTTGTCCATGAAACTCACTGGTATTAGGAACAATAATAATGGACACTAAAGACCCCTGAATTAACAGGAGATAACAATGTAACTTAAGAAACTAAAACCCAATAGAATACAATTGGTTGTTCTTAGGGTCTTATTTCAGTGGAACTCTGAAACTCATATAGAATCTTTCCACTTGTAATGTACCACAATGATTACTTAATCAATGCCACTATTTAAAAAGATAGGAGGCAGAGAAAAAATTGTAGTCACTAACAAAACTAATAAGCTATAATATAAGAAACTAGGCAAATTAGAAATGAACCTGAAAAACATTTAAGTTATATAGTTCATATATACTTTTTAAATTTTATGTGCCATTTGACAGCTTCCTAGTTCATTAAGCCTTTCATGAAGCCTCAACTTCATCAAACAGATTTTTTAAATTATACCATATATCACTGTTTTCTCAATATTGGTGTTCTGGGGCAAAACTCTGGGGTACACACCACGAGTTTAGTTGTTGGTTACAATAATTCATCCCATACAACTTTTCTGTGAAACAACGTCTAAAAAGTTGAAGCTACATTACTTTTTTTCTCTATATCACTACTCCAAAAATTAGATGTATCGTAGGAAGTAGAAATTAAACCATGAGATTCTTATTTTGAAATATATCAACATACCTTGTCCAAAGCTGCTTTCTTCCAAATGTAAGTCAACGTGTTCCTGGAGAATATGGTAATTTGTACAGATGAGCCCACACATAGGACAGTCATACAGTGGTTGATCATGGTCTGTTTTAGAGATATAGTTCAGTTGGTTTTATTTTTAAAACTTTTAGATTTTTCACCCTAAGTCAAAGAATGTCCACTGCCCACTAACCTTATTAAATAAATCAAAGATCTATGTAGTTGGATTGAAAGCTATTTTCTACCTCTAGGGTCAAAATGGAAGACTGAACAAAAGCACAAATCTCTCTTACCACGATAATAAAAGAAAAAGTTAATAATAAACATTCAGGTCTATAGTCAAAGCAAGAAAAGAAAAGTATAAAGGAAAATCAAAATGGTAAGTAGGGGCCATTTTAGGAACTAAATTCTCAGTACCCTCCCCCCAAACTAAGTGGTGAGATGTGAAATTAAGCATAGAGCATTCAGCATAAAGCTTGGAATTGGGATCATAGCCTATTTGGGAGCAGAAGATCAAAGAGCTGCATTTATCAAGCAGTACTGCAAGCAGAGAGGTGCAGCTTGCCCAGGACAGAGGCAGTACCTCCCCAAGGCCAAGACCTTATGTCAGTCATGAAAGAGGAACCCATAGTGAAAGGACTGAGCTAAGCAACCATGCATGTAAGGCCTGGTCTGGAAGTGGAATAATAGTATTTAGAAAGTAGCTGAGACTGCTATGAAGCTGTTTATTTTCACAAAGTAGATGTGACTCGTCTCATTTTAGCTGGATCAGCTGACTTTAAAACTGAACTAAGTCAATCTGATATGTCTGGTCAGAGGCTGCAATCAAAAGATTTAAAATTAGTTGATATACCCCATGGTGGTGAAAATGAAAAACTAGCTATTGAGTTATCTACTGATGTTCTTTCCAATGAAATTCATTCAAAAAGAGAAATTAATTCAATACTTGGGTGAAATCAGCCAAGAACAGACAAGTACTGTTTTGGAGCCGAAGATACATTAAAGGTTTTGGAAGTGGGAGCTGTAAAGATTCTAACAGTTTATGAAAATCTGGATATAATGAGAAATATTCCTTATTATCAAGGCACAGAAGAGGAGAAAATTCTCTAACTGCAGAATAAGATGATAAATCTCATTTCACTGACAGGACAGGTATATGAGCTGATTAAGAACATGTCCCTGCTAGAATGGTTTGCTCACAACTATAAAAAATTTGGAGCTACACTGGAAATTGTGATAAGAAAGATCCCAGTCTGTGAACGGATTTGGTGGAATTGGAAGAATCTTGCAATACTGAGCTGAGTTCCACAGAACACAAAGGAGGACACGATGAATTTTTTTACCATGATAACTAATAGGTAGTTGACATGAGTCCCACAAAATGTGCCTCACCCTGCAGCATCCAACCCAAGCATACCCCTGCTGGAATCCAAGCAGATCCCTGCCTTAAAATTGGACCATTTTCAGAACTTAATCCAGGAGCATCAGATACTGAAAAGAAAACCAAAACAAACCCAGATCCAACCCTACACTTGGTTTTGCCATGGTGCCAACATTGCAACCTACAACTAAGTTCCTAAATGCTACTTTGGACTAATTTAGAAAGAAACCCAGTTTTTACTTTACTTGATGATGAATTGGTTGCTCTTGAATTTTCTGGGGAAAAATTTTTTTTAACCTTCATACACATAAGCAAACATGATTTAAGTGCTATAAATCTTCAAAAGTTAATAGAAGTGACATGAAAAAAAAGAAAGAAATGCTAAAGATCAAACACTTGGGCTCATTAGTAGGCTGAATACGGCTGAGGAAAGAATCTCTGTGTGTGAGGATATGACAAGAGATACTTCCCAAAATGAAATGAGAAACATAAAATTTCCCAAAACGTAAAGAGAAAAAGATAAAAAAAAAACCCTAAAAAACAAAAAAACCCCTCAATATCCCGCATATCCAAAAACTGTGGGAGAACTGCAAAAGGTGTAACATACACAAAATAGGAACACCAGGAGAGAAAGAAAGGAACAAAAGTATTATTTAAAGCAATGATGACTGAGAACATCCCCAAATTAATGTCAGACATCAAACTATAGATCTTGGAAGCTCAAAAAACACCAAGCATAGTAAATGCCAAAACAACTACATCTAGGCATATCATATTCAAACTTCAGAAAGTCAAAGATAAAAAGTCTCGGAAGAAGCCAGAGGAAAAAAACACCCTACTTACAGAGAAACAAATATGAAAATTACATATGACTTCACAGAAGGCATTCAACTAATAAAAGACAGGAGTGAAATATTTAAATTTTCCAGAAAAAAAAAAAAAACTCTACCAACCTAAAATTCTATATCCTTCAAAATAATCTGTCAAAAGTGAAGGAAAAATAAAGAATTTCTCAGACAAATAAAAATTGAGAGAAATTATTGCCAGTAGACCTGCCTTGCAAAAAATGTTAAAAGAACTTCTTCAGAGAGAAGGAAAATGATATTAGTCAGAAACATGGATCTCCATAAAGGAAGAGCATCAGAAAAGACATAGGTGAAGGTATAATAAAAACTTTGATTTTTCTCATTAATTGATGTAAGATGTAAGACTTAAGTTTATTCAAAATAAAAATAGCAACAATGCATTCAATTATTTGTGTGTGTGTGTATATATATATATATATATGTATGTATGTATACATATGTGTAGTTACATTTATGTGAAATAAATGACAATGATGACACAAAGGACAAGAGAAGGAATTAGGAATATTTTATTAATATAAGGTCCTTGTACTCATACAGTGATACAGTGTTACTTAAAATTAGACTTAGATTAGTTCTTAATAAAACTGCAAACTCTAGGCCAACCACTAAAAAAAGTAAAAACAAGGATAACTGATATGCTAAGAAAGGAGAGCATTAATTGAGCAAGTGACATCTCTTGCCTGTTACCAGGAGTAGAAGTCCAAACACTGCATCTTGAGACCAAAATCACCAAGGAAAACATGCAGTCAAGCACTGGAGAGAACATTTAACTCATAGTAAACATAGAGAAACACACAGAGAAGAGAAAGAATAAGATCACCTTCAGTATTAGACATTAGTCTGCAATGGCCCATGGGTCTCTTCCAGCAGCCATCACAGGGCGACTGGTCTCTACACACTGCTCTTATGTCACAGAATGAAGGACAGAGGACAGATCTAGTAGAATGAAGGAGACAGGATAGATCTAGCAGATGCCATACGACACACATGCTTAAGCAAAACAAAGGAGTATACTTGTTGCCTGAAACAGGGAAAGATATTTCCAAACACAGGCTGTGAGGACTCTTACCTCTTGATAAGAAAGTATTCTGGGCCCAAGGTTCATTCTTATGTGGCCAAGTAGGGGTAGAAAGACTGCATGCATGAACTGTCTTTCCCAACAGAGATAAAATGAAATCATATGCTCAATTAAACCACAAAAGACAGAAAAAAAGTAGGAAACAAAAGAAGCAAAGAACAAGGGCAAAAATAGAATACAGTAAAAAATATGGTAGATATATTAGTTCCACTGTAGTAATAATAACTTTAAACATCACTGGTCTAAACATACCCATCAAAAGACAGACTGTCAGGGTGGAATAAAGTACAAAATCTACCTGTATTTTGCCTATACGAAATTCACTTTAAATATAAATACACTTACAGATTAAAAGTGAAAGAAAGGAGAAAGATGCAGCATGCTAACACTAATCAAAAACAAATGCAAACAAAGTACCAGGAGTAGCTCTATTGATTTCAGAGAGGGCAGATTTCAGAACACGGAATATTATCCAGGATAAGGGGGGGTACTACATAATGACAGAGGGTTCAATACTCCAAGCAGACATAATAATCCTTAATGTGTATGTGCCTAACAACAGAGTGTCAAAATACATGAGGCAAGGGGCACCTAGGTGTCTCAGGTGGTTAAGCGTCAGACTTCAGCTCAGGCCATGACCTCATGGTTTGTGAGTTCAAGCCCCGCATCGGGCCCTGTGCTGACAGCTCAGACCTGGGGCCTGCGTTGGATTCTGTGTCTCCTTCTCTCTCTGCCCCTCCTCCACTGGCACTCCGTCTCTCTTTCTCTCTCAAAGATAAACATTAAAAAAACTACATGGGGCAAAAATGAACAGAACTGCAAGAAGAAACAGATGGATTCGCTATTATACAGTTAGAAAATTTTTAACACTCGTCTTTTAGAAGTAGACAAATCCAGCGGGAGGAAATAAGTAAGGATATACAGTAATTGAACTCAACTGTACCATCAAGCAACTGGATATAATCGACACCTCTACACAAGTCCATCCAACAACAGCAGAATATACTTTCTGCTCAAGCGTGTATAAAACATTCACTAAGAAGGTGCCTGGGTGGCTCAGTCAGTTGGGCATCCAACTTCAGCTCAGGTCATGATCTCACAGTCTGTGAGTTTGAGCCCCGCGTCAGGCTCTGTGCTGACTGCTCAGAGCCTGGAGCCTGCTTCAGATTCTGTGTCTCCCTCTCTCTCTGTCCCTCCCCGGCTCATGCTCTGTCTCTCTCTGTCTCAAAAATAAATAAAAACATTAAAAAAAAATTTTTTTAATAAATAAAACATTCACTAAGACCACATTCTAGGCCACAAAACATAATCTAGGCCATTACATCTTAAGAAATTTAATGAATTAAAATGATACAATATCTTCTCTCAGACTAAAATGGAAATAAACAAAAAGTAACTAACAGAAAGAGCTGAAAAATCCCCAAATACTTGGAAATTAAACACACACCTAAATAATGTATCAAAGAAATCCCAAGGGAAATTTTAAAATTTTGAACTAAATGAAATTTAAAGGGTGCATGGGTGGCTCAGTTGGTTAAGTGTCCAACTTCAGCTCAGATCATGATTTCGCGGTTTGTGGGTTCAAGCCCCACATTGGGCTCTGCTGACCGTGCAAAGCCTGCTTGGGATTCTCTCTCTCCCTGTCTCTCTGCCCCTCCCCACTTGTTCGTTTTCTCTCTCTCTCTCTCTCTCTCCCTCCCTCCCTCCCTCTCTCAAAGTAAATAAATAAACCTAAAAAAAAAATGTAGCCTTTAAAAAAAAATAAATGAAAGTGAAAGTACAACTTAAAATGTGTGCAATGCAGCAAAAGCAATGCGTAGAAGGAAACTTAGAACAATGAGCACATGTATCAGAAAAGAAGATAAAGCATCTAAGTTTCCACCTCAGAAAACTATAAAAGAACAAATCAAACCCAAGATAAGCAGAAGAAATAATGAAGAAAAAAAATTAGAGCAGAAATCAATGAAAGAGAAAACAGAAAATCAACAGAGAAAACCAATGAAACCAAAAGGCCTCTAGTCAAGCTAAGAAAAAAGAGAACACAAATTGTTAACTCTGAAATAAAAAGGGGGCATCACTACATGTCCCATGTACATTTAAAAGAGAATAAAGTTATAATATGAACTATGACATAAATTTGTAAACTAGATGAAAACGGACCAAGACACGATCAGGCAAATTAAAAAAAGAAAAAAGAAACCCTTAGGTAAAAACCTAACGAAATACACAGGGTATACATGAGAAAAAATACAAAATTCTGATGAAAGAAATCAAAGAACAACTAAGGTGAGAGATATTTCTTCTTCAAAATAGGAAGACTCAATATTGCCATAATGTCTATTTTTCCCAACTTGATCTATAGATTCTATGCAATTCCAATAAAAATCCCAGCAAGTTATTTTATGGATATCAAAAACTGATTCTAAAATGTATATGAAGAGGCAAAAGATTCAGAATAACCAATACAAACAATACTGAAAAAGAACAAAGTCAAAGGGCTGGCACTACCTGACTTTAAGACTTACTATAAAGTTATAATATCAAGATACTGTGGTACTGAAAAAAGAACAAATAGATCAATGGAACAGAGCAGAGAGCCCAGAAATAGACTAATAGCCCAGTCAACTAATCTTTGACAAAGAAGCACAGGCAAAACTATGGAGCAAAGAAAATCTTTTCAGCAAATGGTGCTGCAACATGAGGACATCAAAATGCAAAGAAAATGAATCTAAAGTCAGACCTTACATCCTTTGAAAAAATTAACTTGAAAATGGATCATAGACCTAAACATAAAATGCAAAACCATGACATCCCTAGAAGATAACAGGAGAAAACTTAAATGACTTAGGGTATGGCAATAACAACACCAAAGGCAAAATCAAGGTATAACATAATTGATAAGGTAGACTTCATTAAAAAAAAATTTCTACTCTGCAAAAAACAATGTCAAAGAGGATAGGAAGTGAAGCCACAGAATGGGAGAAAATATTTGCAAAAGATACATGTAATAAAGATCTGTTATCCAAAATATACAAAGAACTCTTAAAAATCAGCAATAAGAAAACAAAATACAAGATTAAAATGTGGGCCAAAGACCTTCACAGATACTTCACCAAAGAAGATATACAGATGGTAATTAAGCATTTGAAAAGATACCCATGTTATATCAATGAGCAGCACTTAAAATTAAATTGAGATACCACAACACAAATATCAGAATGGCCACAATCTGGAATACTGACAATACCAAATGCTGATGAGGATGTGGAGCAACAGGAACTCTCATTCACAGCTGGTGGCAATGCAAAATGGTGTTGCCACTCTTTAAGAGTTTGGCAGTTTCTTGTTAAAATTAAACACACTATAATTATACAATCTAGTAATCACATTCCTTAGTATTTACCCAAAGGAATTGAAAATTTCTGTCCATACAAAAACCTGCACCGGGATGTTTATAGCAGCTTTATTTCTAACTGCCAAAACTTGGAAACAACCAAGATGTTCCTTGGTAGGTGAATGGATAAATATACTCTGGTACATTCAGACAATGCAATATTATTCATCCCTTAAAAAAAAAAAAAAAAAAAAAAGAGCTGTCAAGCCGTGAAAAGATGTAGAGAAAACCGAAATGCACATTACTAAGTAAAAGAAACCAACCTAAAAAAGCTATATACTGTATGATTCCAATGACATTCTGAAAAAGGCAAAAATACGGAGATACTGAAAAGATCAGTGATTGCCAGGAGTAGGTTGGGAGTAGGGGAGGAATGAGTAGGTGAAGCACAGAAGATTTTTAGGGAAGTGAAACTACTCTGCATGATAACTAAAATGGTATTTGTTATTACACATTTGTCAAAACTTGTAGAATATATAACACCAAGAGTGAATTATATAGACCTTCCATTAAGGTCTGGAATGGAAACTGTCGACTTAATGGACACTGTCGACTTTGGGTGATAATGATGGGTCATTGTAAGTTCACTGATTATAACACATGTATCACCTGATACAGATATTGATAGTGAAACAGGATGTAAGTATACGGGGACAGTGAGTATATGGGTATTCTCTGTACTTTCTACCTAATTTTGTTGTGAACCTGAAATGGTTTTAAAAAATAACACTTATTAATTAAAAAAAAATTAATCTAAATACTCTCCTTACTCCTTTTAAAATATTAACTCAAATGAAACACAGACTTGAGTATAAAATTCAAAACTATAAAACTTCTAAAAGATAGGAAAGGTGACTTTAGGTTTGGTGATGAGTTTTTAGAAACGACATCCAAAGCACAATCCATGAAA